TAAGAAGATTGTACCTAACAACATAGTTTTCACCATCGGCTGAAACGATGTTACCGGTAAACCAAGAGCCACACGGATCATCATCATCTTCTCTTCTTAAAACCTCCACCGAATCCCCTCTTCTAAAATTCATGATTTTTCAACTCTAAAAAATGCTTTAACCCTGGGTAACAAGAGTAAACAAAAGGAAGAACAAAATTAAATACTACTAGATTCTCCCATAACATTTGAAGGTGATAAATACAAGGATCAATGGATGCTAGCAGATCTATAAACTGTATAACAGATACATGAACTAACCCATGAAAACCAGTGTTTCTTTACATAGTTTGGTGTCAATCAGCAAAGAAGAAAGAGAATAAACAAAAAGCTTCAAAACCAATTACCCAGAATTTGAATTCATATAATTATGAACCTCGCTAAAACAATGAAACAGGATTAGACAGAGCCCACACAGAGATTACAATCAACACAGGCCTCTTATTCAATTAAAAAACTTCTGATTAAATTATATGATTCTGACCTGGGATTAAAGGGGAATAAATGAGAAACGAACAGGACGCGGTTCAGTGGGGATCATGACCGCATATTTACGTAAAGATGGTCTGATTTGCTCTCCATTGTTTCTTTAAGCACTCCACATAAAAATTACAAATTACTAATTAGGATTACCATGGTTATTAACTTCAACCAAACCTGTTTTTTTCAAAAATATTTGGTATTAATCACGTAAGGGTGTTGCCTAATTGTGATTATGGGGGCCATTCAAAATCTCTACTTACAAATATTATTGCGTTTACCTAATAATAATTCCTCTTCCACTACATTTAATGCTTCTGGTCCCTTTGTGTTTCCTTTCATAATCTCGTCGTTTTTGGACATTGCCAGACTTCAGAGTATCATTGTATTACAATTTCCGCTTGCGCACCACATTTAGGGTTATTTAATTTTAAGTTATTTAATCTCTACTTACATATGTAACTTTGATTTTTATTTTAATAATACTTTTTTTACTTTTATAATTTAGTTTCTCAACTTTTCATTGCATTCAATTTAATTATTCGACGATTGTTTTTTTTGTAAATTCTATCTTCACATTAATTCTTAGGCTTATTTATACTCCATCAATGCTTTATACTAAAAAATATTCTGTAAAATTAATATTATAAATATATTTTATAATTTTTTAGCTTATTTTTTATTTAATAAATAATATTATAAATCTTATACATAGGAAAAAGAATATGAAGAAATATATATTTGCATCTTTTATGGTTAAACAAAGTCGTTTAGATTGAACCTGATATGTAGTATAATATTATGAATGCATAATTAAATTTGTATAAAAACTCGAACAACTTTACTCAAATCCCCAAATCTAAGAAAGTCTTCAAACCCTAAATAGTATGTTTTTTCCTGTCGATTTTGGGTGAATTTTTTTAGGGGATCCTAAGAGAAGAAGGGAGAATAAAATATGAACGATTTAGTATCAATTTTGTCCCGAAAGGTGATCGGTGACAAGCAATGATTGGTTGTCGACAGTGATAAGAAAAATGTAAGGCCAAAAATAGAAACATTTAAAAGTTCAATGAGAAAATCGATATACTCTTAAAATTTAATGTTTAAAACGATATTGTTTTAGGCATTAATATTCATCACCAAAATGATATCGTTTTTTTCACATCATCATATCTTTTGAATTTTAACAGTCTAATACCATAGTTAAAATTAAAACCAAAATTAAATATTAATTAAAGAAATTAAAAATTGGATGATATAAAACCTAAAATTAAGTAGTATCCATTGTTATTAATCTTTTTTTTTTATGTTGTAAGCTAGAAACATAAGGAGAATGACGGTTGTGTTTTGTGTGAATTGGTTGTCCCTTGTTCTCATATGTAATGGGGTAAGGGGGAGGTAAGATAGTAGGCTGCCCCCAACACTAGGTTGAGAGCAGCTTTCGTAGGAGACTTCCAAATTATGAAATGATCTAAATGAGACTCGATCTTACGACCTCAAGGTTAAGAACCTTGTGCTCTACCAACTGAGCTAGATGGTCATAAATTATTATTGGGATGACGTGAGATTTATGTTAAAAAAACCTAACAATCCCATTTTTCTATGTTAATATTGGGTTGTGTTTCTATCAACCAGCCTGCAAAAGTAAGCAGGGACCAAACAAGAAATTAGTTTTTTTTATTAATTAATAGAGATTATAATATAGTGTCTATTTTAAAGATACATAATCATTTGGTAATGAAAACTTAAATACTCTTACAGTCTCTGATACTTAAACTTAAAATCTCTAAAGATAATAATTATCCATTTAACCACTGAGGTTATTTGATTCGTGCACCTTGGTGGTTGCCTTGTGAGGTGATATGGTGTGGTGTTGTGGTTTCACATTGATGTAAGAAATTAGAAATCTATTAACATTGAGAGGTTTTTTTTAACGAGACCCATGTTTTTTTATTTAATGTTTTATGTGAATTATCAAAAAACCGTACTAAACCACATTTAAAAAAATAAAAATGATTAGAATTAATTAATAAACTTGCCAAATGTAATTATAATCTATATATATGCATAACTAAAATCTTAATCAATCCTTTCCATGCACAACTGGTGGATTAGTAACCAAATCTAAGCCATGTTAACTCAAGAGTGTGCATTTGGTTTTTGAACTTTACCCGTTTTGTCGTAAATTAATTGAATTGAACATCTAATTTTAGAAAATTTGACTTTATCAGATCGATTTAACATTAATCATTTTGATTATGAACATCAATAATAATAATAAAAACAATTGATAAAATCATTTTAATCAAAGATAAAACTAATTTAATCGGTTGGACAACTCAGTCGATTATAATTGAATTGTGCTATTACTTATTCTAGATACTTGGCACATATAATTAAATTTAAATTATAGTAAATCTAATAGATTAATTGAGTTAACATTGAGACTTCTAATTTAATCAAATATAAATAATTTATATTATCTGTTTCTTAATATAATTATATTTTATGACTCATATTGTTGTATATATTAATGTCATAAAGTTATGGGATGTATAATGAAAGACAATCTAATATAAAGTTAAGAAAATGTGTTATCAAAAATGTCAATATTTTTTAATATTTATGATAAAGTTCTATCTAAAGTATTATTTTTTACCAGAAATATTAATATTGGGCGTTACATAAAATATTATTTTTATACCGAAAATATTAATATCAGAAATATTTATTTTAGGTAGCGAAATTAACATTTTCGATATAAAAATAATAATATTCAGAAAAATTAAAAAAATTAACATTTGGATGTATATATTCGAATTTTATCTTATGTGAATTATATATAATTTTTTTTAATTTTATTTTGGATTGTGTTGTATTATGTATAGATTTTTTATTTGGTTTATTTTAGACTTTAAATATATTTTAATTGTTGGTTTAACCATACTTTATAATGATCTATAATATTATGAGGATCAACACAGATCCACCTTAAAATATGAATTTTTTCCGATTAATTATATTTTATTAATGGTGTTCATTCTAAAATTCTATTTGTGTCCGTCTCATTCAAAAAATGTATATTGTTAATATATGTGTATCCACCTTAAAAATATTTCTAGATTTGTCATTGAATTCATACCTGCATTTTTACCGGAGTAATTAACAATACTAACTATTTATGGACTAAGGTTTATGTTTTTTTAGTCTGGGATGATTACAATATATTATATATTCATAACTTTTTTAACCAATTGACAACATGTATCCAACAGACATAACTGCTCGAACCTAAAATATCTATAAAAAATAACATTTTTTTTACTACTATATCACTTAACGGTTCAGAGTGAATGTTATTATAAAAGTGAAAATATCAGATTATATTAAATTAAAGTACAAGAATCACATCTGAAATTCTGGTATAGTGAAAGTGTCAAAACCATAACTTGACCGATATTTTTCCTTTCTCGATACCAAATTGCCAAGGATGGCAATAAAACACACATAATAGAGTCGAAGAAGGGGCTTTCGTATCGGAGAAATGTAATGAGAGTCAAAGACGTAGCATGAAAAAGAACTGACACATCAATGCAGAAGTAGTGGTTCCATGTGCAAGCTCTGGGAGTTTGACATGGCTTCCATTTCACAACCCACATTTCATTTGTTTTCAGCTTAACACCAGTCAGGTGCGTAGGTGAAAAAACCAAAACGAAACTTTCCATATGTATATATAATAATTTTCCAAAATTATTTTCCACGAAAACAAACAGACTCTAAACTAGAACCTCGAATTTAAAATTTTAAAACTGGAGATAAGAGAAATCCATCCATCCAATATATATATATATAATAAGATGGGCATGTGAGAAGGGCAGAGACCTCAAAGTTAAAAAGGTGGTTCAACTCCAAAACCCCAGAGGGGAATCAGAATCCCCCATCTCTCCATCATTGATTCAGCATTCCCCAAATCCATTTAGCCCAATCACCATTTTTCTATCTTGTTTTACTCCTCTCCTGCATATGGGAGTGAGGCACTTCACTGAATAAATTAAACAGCTCCGCATTTCACCCCCTCAAGTTTCAATATTCCTCTTATCCAGGCTTTCTTTTTTAAATGTATTATGGAATAGTTATTTTATAATTTATTCCTCCCTTGTATGTTATTTTTGTCTAAATAAACCCATCTTCTCTACATCTGTTTCTTGCTTATGGTTCATATCTCTATACGAACCTATGTGAAGGGCAAGTGTATGGAATTTGCCTCGTACTTGTTGGGTAAAATATTGGGTTTTGCTTCCCTAACCACTGACCATATGAAATTTATTAGGTCACAAAAAGCAACAGGGAAGGGAATGTGAAATGCAGTTTTAACCTTTGTTTTTTTAACACGGTAGAAAACAAAGGAATGTGTGCGGTGGAGAAGGGGTCGGTGGGATTTATTTCTGATTGGGAACTGTGCTCTATGTTTAACCGCATACATGGAACCAGGACATGGGAACCTGGAAAACGAAAAGCAAGATACCCCACTAACACCAGTAAAAGTTTCACTCTTTAGTTAATCAATTTTACATTTCTTTTTATAATTATGATTATGGTGTTTTATTCATAGAATGAAATATCATATTTGATAATAAATTTATTAAAATATGTCTACATATGGAGTAGAGCCTATTGTTATTTGTTATATGACTTGAGACTTTAGAAAGGCACGTACAAAGAGGAAGTACACTCCGGCCCAATACATGTGCCAACATGTAGGGGTGACGGCCCAGGACAGCATGTAGGGGCATTAGTAGAATTGATGCGTACTCAGCTATTGATGACAACTGTAGCGAATGGACGACCTTTGTAATCCTCACCTCCTTTCTGTAGGTTATTCCCCGCATGTAGAGGCAACGAGTGCCACGGCCACAACACCTCTCTCGCCGTCCTACGTACCCACTGCAAGCTTGGCCTTGCCACTAAGCTCATGATCGCCGCCCAAGCCGCCATGGTACAAGTCTTTCCATTTATTTATTTTTCTTTCCTTTTTCCTTTTTAGTCATTTATCTGCTCATATATGGACTGTAGTACTTTTAAATTAGTTAGTTATTAGTTTTTGCTTGATTACATTTTGGATTCGAAGTGAAAAGAATATTTTAAGAGAAGTAGAACTTGAAATTCCAATCTTTGCTTTACGAAATACTGAATAGTTTTACTTTTATATAGAATGCTTATGTTAGAGTTACTTTTACTTTTATTGATTCTATATTTAGCAATTCTTGAACAGTTTAACTGCAAAATCAATCGGCAAGGAAGAAAAGTCATTTGTATTCTTCAATACTAATATGCGAAGTGATGTAGGTGTTTGGAGCAAAGTATGTCTCGCTCCATGTGAGAAAGAGTAACAGGGCAACATTTAATCTGTATACTCAAACGTTGGGTTATAAGATACATGATGTGGAGGCGAAATATTATGCTGATGGGGAGGATGCATACGACATGCGGAAGCAGTTAAAAGGTAAGAGTAGTCATCATCACAGCCATCAAAATCACCACCACCACCATGATGGTGGTGGATTTTGTTTGGGTGATGCAAGAAGTGCAGAAACAGCTAATACGAGAGGAGATTCTATATCAAAATCAAAAGCTCGCACAAAATCTGGTTCAAAAGCTAGATGATTACTTGGAGGTAAACATAAGTATATGAAAAACTATAAGTGGCATTGGTTTATATTCTCTAGGCTACTATTTCTTGCTCATGATATTTTAAGTTTGTTTATTGAAGTAATAATCAGACTGTAGATTTCGAAACTTGTCAGTTTCCTACATGAGATATTGTATGATCCTAGCTAAATGCAATGGTTTCTTTACTATCTCTTTTGCAATGCGTCTTTGTTTCAATTCTAGTAAGATGTCTTCTTTGTGTCACTTTCTGCATTCATGGTTTATGATATGTTGACGTCTCGGCTTCCTGCACTCCCTTTGTAATCTATGCTTGTTCAGATCCTTTTTCTTGCAGTTTGCTTTCAGTGTTTTCCCTTGTTCATGCAACATAACTTTCCGTCATTGTTTGGGGCCCAAACGAAGTGTTAGTTGGCAGTCTGTTATTGTGGAGCAAAGTGATATTTAGTTGGCAATCTGCCAGTCCTTTTGGTATTTGTATCATGCCATTGCTAATATGATGTAAGCTGCCTTGATTGAACATTCTTGACCTGGGGAGAGTAATGGAAATGGATATGTTTGTAAGACAAGCACAAACAGGACAGGCAGTGGCTGCAAAGTCAGAGACAATGATCCTGCTGGTCGAGTTTCAATGGACATTTTCCCATAATATATACTACTAAATAATTTGGCTGGATTTCAAACTTCATAGAAAATGTATGAATTTTAAAGCATAAAGCATGTTCTGGGAATAACCTATAGAAATTACATTTGTCTATTATACGGTACAAATATAAGGGCATAAAATTATTATCTCGCCCAGGGTATTAAAACTCATTGGACCGGTCCTGAGTACACTTTTCTCGTATCGTATAGAACCAGAGAGGGAGTTTGCAGTTTCATTGTATAGACCAATTCACATGGCATCTTCACCTTTTTACAGGTTTTCTTGACCCTTTTGGAAACCCCACTTCTATCACGACAGTCCCCGTAGGGCCATGCCAATTATTTGTCCATGCAATAACTATATATTTAAAAAAATCAGTTAGGGTCTTAACTTTAATATATATTTATATTTGTACCGTCGTCGATTATTGACGATTAATCTCTTATAATATAAATGGAGGGTCACGATCTACAAAAAAACGACCATTGGTCAATCAAAGAAGGAGAAGAAAATTGGATGCGGATTGTAGAAGGTTTCAGTCTTCTTATCAATCTTAACTTGGAGCATTTATAGTGGTTCATAGTTATAGTTATTCGCAAGTCAACATGTTAAATAAATACGGTAGTTAGATATTGAATTTTCCTCTTGTAGTTTACGTTGGTTTGTCATGTCTTATCTATAGGTATCGTTCATAAATTGTATTTGACTCGAAGACTGTTATTTGAAAAATGAGAATTCATTTAAAAAAACTCAAATAAATAGAAAGATTTGTACAAAAACTTTTAACTAACAAGGAATTGATAATTCTAACAATTTTCAAAATTCATGTTATAACTTTATATATATACTTATGTGAATTTTACATTAAATTGCAATATCTTATGACGTTTGCTTTTGATATTACCAAAATTTCATTCAATTACTTAATTAGGTTATCTTCCTAAACTAGTGTGATATACTGAGTATACGTAAAATGCTCTCTTATCCAACTGTACGTACTATCATCATACCCATCCACTTACACCGTTGACACGTTCAGACCGAAAACGTTAGCCACGTGTGCCATCAAAGTTGATAACCCAGCAGCCGAGCTGCGAGCTCCTTTAATGGAAGTAAAATCAGGTCTTTGCGTTCGACGTCTTTTACTTGGGAAAATGATGGCTTTGTTCTCTTTTTCTTTTTTGTTTGTTCTCGTCACATTACTCACGGGCTGCACTATGCATATTTATCACCTCTTTGGACTCTTGCATTGGTAAAAGCCATGGTTTGTTTTCTTCTTTTACTCACGACTGGTGCGACTTTCATCTGCTAATATAAACCTTATCAGTGTCCTCGTGATTCCCGTTAATGGCGTAATTCTCTTTATCCATCTCTCCAATTTTGGACGGCTTGTAGTCCATTCATACGTAACGCTCCAACTAATCATCGCACATTAATGACCCTAACATATTCACAATCTAACACCAAATTTATGAACCGTTTGAAGCTTAAAATGGCAACAATAAGGACCGCTATTAACAACGCTTTGAGTTCAAGTTTTCTTGCGATTGACTATTGTTTCCCCCCCTCCCCTCATATTTTCACAAATATAATTATAAACTATAAATTTAAGTTTACACATATAATCGGTTTTAGAAAAATAATAAATCCAAATTTTATGGATGAGGGTTTTTAATCTTGAGGTCATGATATCGAGTCCCACGGAAGGTATTTCATAATTCGGAGGTCTTCTACGAAAGTTACTTTCAATATAGTGTTGGGAACAACCTACTATCTTATCTCCCATGTCCATTACATATGAAAACATGGAATAATCATTTTCTATGGATGAGGGTTTGATCATCGTTCAAAGGCACGAAATTTAAGGGATCGGATGGACGACACGTAAGGAGAAAGCATTGCCCACGGAGGCTTACCTGCAGCAGAGTCTGTGCATCCCACTTATAATGCAACAAATAAAGTCCTGAGACGCATGATGAGTAAATTTACAAAACCCCCAGTTTCCTAAAAATAATAAAAGGAAATATGTAAAAAATATTAGTTTCCTTATAAATCACTAAATTAATAATTAAGATTGTACGAATTTGACATTTGGTTAAAAGGTTAGGGGCAAGTTAGTCCATTTGACCTGCCTCTGTTCTTTTCATAAACTTCGCTCGCCCTTTAAAAGACCAGAAAAGCGGGAGAAGCAGAAATAGACTGCAGTCACAAACCAAACAGCCAGAGAGAAAAAGAAAAAAAAAAGAAACGAAGAGAGTATCAGAAACAACAAAAAAAATGGAGACAAATGTTAAGATGGAATTTTAATGAGAAGATAGATAGAGAACACAGAGGATAACTGAGTTAAAACATAGAGGGAAAAGCTTTTTTATTTCTTTGTTTTCAATGACGACTGGAATCATGGCAGAGCAAAAATTAGAGGAGCGAATTGGGAAACAAATGGGTTGCATGGCTGGTTTTCTTCAGATCTTTGAACGTCACCAGATTCCCACCGGCAAAAGCCTTTACTCAACCAAGCGCCTCCTTCCTTCGTCGGTTGGTATTTTTTTTCTATTTTTGAATGTGGGTCTGTGGACACTGGGAGATTTATTTATACATTGGTCATGTTTTATTGACCTTTTTTTCAGGTGAGTGAAACGACGACGGAGGAAGAGAAGACCGTTGAGTCACCATTAACAACGGGAGAATTAGAGGAGCAGCCGCAAGGACGATTAGCACCATCACCGGACCGTTTCAAGGAATCTCCTGGGGTATCAGAGCTCCGGTCCCCAGCACCGGAGCCTTCCACTCCGACGGGAAACCAGAATAAGGCATCTCTTCCGCTACTCATTGTCCAATTCAAAGAAGGCAATACAAGGTCACCATTTAAATTTTCCAAAGAAGCTCCGAGGCTCTCTCTTGATAGCAGAGCCGCCGTTGATGCTAAAGGAAGCCTCAAACCCCGTAAGATCCGTACGAACCAATGCAAAACCAACAGTGAAGAAAATGGAGTGGATGATAGCGACAAACAACGACGGCCCCCCAGCGTAATCGCGAGGCTCATGGGACTCGGGTCATTACCGAATTCGGATCCCGAACCAAATGGTAAAGCCGAGCTCCGAAGGTCCGCGTCGGAAGCCAGAGGCAGAGATCTAATTCAGCATTGTTTTATTGAAGAAGTTAATTTCCATTTAAAACAGAGCCAGCTACCAAATTTCCAAAACGAGGAGATTTCGAGCAATGTATTGAGAGAAAATGGCGGCAAACAAGAGCATTTAATGAATAACAGATCAGAAAGATTAAGAAATGCGAGAACCGAACCAATGAAAGCTGTAGTTCGAGGAGTATGCCAAAGGAAATGTTTCTACGATTCAGCCGATTTTTTTCCCGAGCCAAAGCAACCAGTTTCCATCTACGGGGAGATTGAGAAACAAGTTAAACTCAAAGGAATCGATGAACCATCGAAAGATCTAGAGACTCTTAAGCAAATCCTCGAAGCCTTGCAACTCAAAGGCCTCTCACACAACACTAAATCTCTAAGCCAAACGAATAACATGAACTTTGTTTATGAAAATGATCAATCTCCGATTACCGTTATCAAACCGGGAAGATCACAAGCTTCCCAGGGCAGAAGGATTGGCAACGAATCGCCTCCTCCGAGTAATAGATCAAGGCCTAGACCTCGCCGAAACTTGAGTATCGAGGTTCCTTATCCGACGAGTCCTAGACGTGATCGGTCGGAAAATGAACGGAAAAAAAGGAATAATAGGGGTTCAATATTTCCTACAAGGAGTGAGTGGGGCGTGAGGAGTCCTCACAGAAGGCCATTGAGCATTGAAACGCAGAGGAGAGGGAATGGTAGTGTGGAGCAGAGGAGAGTATCTCCGGTTCAGTCCCCTCGTGTAAATGTGAGAAAACCCAGATTGGATAATACGAGTAATAGATCACCGAGAAACATGAAATCAACGACTGAGATTTATCAGAAAGAAGAGAAGGTAATATTTGTTCCAGCGGAAGATGAAACATCCACTGTTTCAGAGAGTAGGATTAGCACAAGTTCTCAAACCGATACAGTGGTAAATTTGCTCAATTAATTAATGTGGGCTTTTAGTTGTCTGTTTTTGCACAATTACCGTTGTCGTTTTATACTAGAGAAATTCATTGTTCTATTTTTTTTGGCATTATGGGTTTTTACAGAGATCGAAGGTGTTGGAGGAATACAACGAAGGAAGGAGCCTCTTGGAAAGGTGTGATGAGCTTCTTCACAGCATAGCAGAGATGACCGTTGCAACCGAGTTGCAGTCGAGTCCTGTCTCGGTACTTGACTCGTCGTTTTACAAGGAGGAATCGTTTGTTTCCCCTGTTAAGAAAC